GGTCTTTATTGTTTTCCAGTGAGTTTGTCCCATTTTGTAGCATGAAAAACCCAAGTCAATAAAGTGCTTTAGCTATGCAGCATGATACGGCTCATTAGATGTTCCCAGTGTTGAAGGTGATGTGTGGCTATCTGTACCCACTAAAGGAGAATCGACTTTAAGTGTGGATAGCCATATGCTGTATAGCCGCTGTTGACTCAACATTTGCTCCAAGCAATTTAATTCATCTGTACAACACCTGTCACCCATTTCAAAGACAACTTTTCACCTGAGCTGTGTCTAACAACCTCAAATGAAGAAAAAGATTTAAAAGAAAAAAATAAACATAGTTTTCAGGAGGATGTTATAAAAATGTATGTATAGCACTGTAGACAACTTATACAACATCTGTCATTTGATCTGCCAAACAGTTTACCTGTGCTTCAAAATACCCAGCAAACAGGGAAAACTCTTGCTAAGTTTAGTTTCTGCTTACAGAAGCATTTTGTCATAGAGTTATTGTTTATAAATATTGTTTTTCTTTCTTTCAGATTCCTCCTTGCCAAGGAAAGCGTTCTGAAACTGACAGTAAGCCACATCTGAGAGCTTGCTTTGTTTTGCCGTGCTTAAGACCTTGAGATTAATTGCTTAATGCCGGGTATGGGCAAATGTAAGCCACAGAAACCTGGCAACAACATTTGAGTCACTAATGCTCTTTTTCAAGCCATGCGTTACTGCCAAGTAGCCCCAAAATTAGCACATATTAAAAGAAATCATAAATCAAAGCTAACATTTAGGGAAGTGCACTGACATTTCTTGTTGCATAATGGATCAAAACTAGAGCAGCTCTGGCTGAACTGTGCTGAATCTTACTGTGAATAAGCAATGCTCGTCAATGGAAACATCCAAGGAAGACAAGACTGGCAGTACCAAAGAGTTTGTGAGATTAAAGTTCAGCATGGTATGGCTCTGCTGTAAAACACACAAGCTGCTTCATGCACATGTAATTCTAGGATTTAGCTGAAAGGGAAAGCGGGTAAAGCAATTCTCTAGCAAGTTTGCAGGGTTAGACTTCTACACAGATTAAGAAAAAGGGTTGTAGCAGCTTTATAAAATAGGTGCCTAAGTAAAGGAGGGAAGGAATCTATAGATTTTAATCAAAATTGAAATATTTGTCTTGAGTATGACAGAAGTCTTACAGAGGATATAGTTAGATTTTCCCAGTTTTCCTAGTTTTTTCATTACAATCAACCAAACTCCATTTGAAGTCAATTATAACAGCACAGTAATCCCTGTCCTCTAAAAGATTTTGCCAACCTGAACCATATTTTCTTTCTGGCTTACTGGGAGTTCAGTGTGCACAGCCAGAACCCACACTTTGGATTTGTTTCATTTTAGTCCTGGTGGCACCATTTTCCTCTCTCTTTAACTCAAGTTACCCAGGAGGGAGCTGTCTAATGTTTTCTTTTGAAGAAACCCCCAAACTACACAGTGCTGTATGAAACTGTGCCTCCTCACGCTGCACAGTCCATACCTTACGCAGGTATGTCCCTGCCTGACAACACCCATTTTACCCTTGCTCTTTAAACATGCTGTTTCGATGCAACATCATAGAATGGTTTGGGTTGGAAAAGTTTGCCTCCCTCCATATCCTCAGATACTTCCTGCCCCTTTTTTTTTGGCCAGGTTTTGATGATGGGAACATGTATAATCCCATTCATCCACCGATTAAGATTTCCCTTTTGCTTGCAGAGGCAGCTGCCCAGTCAGCAGCAGGCACTCCCTGCGTGTTCCCATCTGTGATGGCATTAGCACTGACTGGAGCACAGCTGGACAATTTGCAAGGTGTTGCACACTGACTGCTAAAGCTTCACATGATTATTATTGAGTAATCTTCCACCATCACTGAAAGTGATTCCCTTCCCTGAAGGCCTTACTGCACAAGGAGCACAAAGTGCACAATGCTCACACTTCCCAAGCCTGCTGCCCTTCCTCACTCAAAGTGCAGGCTGATTTAGGTTGATTTCCAGATTTATATCTTTTCAGCATGACTTCTTGGCCTCTTAGGTCATGGTATTACTTTCACTTGCAGGGGTTTTGTTGGTGTGAAGATACATTCCTGATGTCTGCCATCAGCATTCTTTCAGCGGCTGCCCCACCATGCACTGCTTTGTTCCAGGGTGGGTTTACCTCTCTATTCACCAACACACTGCACTTGGGTATTACCTTCTCATGTAAGTGCTATCCATCATTCACATTGCAGAATGCATATTCTCTATAGTACATATCCCAGTGTGAATTCTGCTTAGTGTTTCTGAGCTTGTTTATTCAGTTTGGTGAGCTATTTCTTCTGTCTGATCTGGAGGAGTCGGAGCAATACAAGGACCAACAAGATGCACACAGTGCCCCCAGCATTAAGACAAAACAAAGGATCTCCAACAGAAGCTTTTGAAGGAAGTGAGGGATTTTGGCAGACTTCCGCTGTTCAGACCGATGACAAGAACCATTTCACTCAGTAATCTGACTAAGAACAAATAGTTCATGAAGACCTACACAGAGCAACAAAGCCTATACACAATCTATCGTTACCTGTCAGATTGCTAAACATGGACAACGTAGGAAAAAAAGATTAGAAGAATCAGATTCCACATTCTTTTATTTCTGGGAGACATCCCATGAGGTATTGCAAAAAAAATCCACTACAGGTAGCAACATACCTTCAAATATCTAAGGAGAATGCTGCCTGGTTCATCTGACCAGTATCCTGTAATTGTTCACAGTGAGAATCAGGGTGACCACCTCAACTATTATAACTTGCACACCTTATTTTAGGGACAAATCATGTCTGATAGAGCATTAAATTGCTCAAAAGCACAGCTTTCTGTTTCTCCTTTCAACCAAAGGAGAATATCAATCTCAGATTTAGTCTTGGGGACCAGGAGAAAGGGAAGCTTTCAAAATGACTTTGATAATATTTTTTCCAAAGCTAAACAGACTCACAATGAAAAGAAAGGTACAACAAAAATGAAGTATGAGCTACAGTGGATGTTGCAACCTGCATAATCGCCCAGTGAAACTAAACCCATGCGTGTTTTATACACTTGTAATGTATATTTTGAGGGTATTGTTCGTATGAAGTTGTGCTGTTATTTAATCACTAAGAACAACCATATCAACATTAGATAGGATCCTTCACATATTAAAAGTTTTTAATCAAATGATACTTTAACTTTTCTTGATGCTCAGATTCTACAAGAGATGACTTTGATATTGATTACAGAACAAACTCATTGCATTAAATATACAAAAAGAACAGTGCAGATCCCGTAACAGTCATTGGCCTGAACTAGTCAAGCATTTAGTCTTGTATTTGATTTCTGAAAGGAGAATTATGGTACTTGCACACACACACCTATTAAAAGGATAATGATGCTGAAGAAATTAAAGGAACTACACATGACGCCTCTAGCTGTTGTATAGTTCTCTTGCAGTCTGCTCTAAAAGACCATTGACTGCATCCACTTTTTTTCCAGATACAGGGAAATACCTTCCCTTTGAGACTATGCCAATCTAAGCGGCAGGCTTAGTCATAGACCATAATGGCTTAAAATTTTGAAGAACTCCAAGATGAGAGCACCAAGCTCATGTTTGGGCTGGAACCGTGGCCCGGGTTGTTTCAAGTCCAAGGACAACCTACAGCTTGACTCAGTTCTTACATAATGTTGTAAAACAGTTCTGAAAGTCTCCCTCTTAATCATTTAGCAAAAAGTGCTTCTTATCCCAGACTTATGGGACACAACTGGGCAGCACAAGAGAGTCATGTTAGCTGAGGGTGCTTAATGAGGGCAGGGCTGCAGCTTTTCATCAAGGAAAAGCTTTTAAATAACGTCCCCCTCTGCTGTGAGCTGAGCCTGAAATGTTATCTCCCCACCCCTCCCTCTGCAGCAGTCAGCACATAAAATTACAAGGAAAATAAAAAATAGAGCAACTTCAAAGTGGTTTCTGTCTTTCCTTTTTTTATACACATATATATTTAAATTAAGACTTCAACTGTTGCAGCCATTTTAAGAGTAACCATCAGGAACCAATCCCAACAAAGGCTTTTAAGGTCATTTTACTTTTCATTTTTTTTTGCTGGAGATACGCAATAGGGAAGCATAGCACTCAGATTTTCAAGGCATCCCTTTTCCTGTAATGATTAGAGTCAAAATAACAGTTTAAACCCTTCCCAAGGAGGGGTTTAAAACCTCTGCACCACAAAAACACAATCTTCTGAGACACAAACAGAAGCCAGATGCTTCTGGAGCCTATCTGTTGTTTCTGGAGGTGGGTCAACTGGACGTTGCATTGGTTCTGTTTCTAGTTAGCTAATATTTTTAGGGTATTCTCACCTCCTGCCTAGTGTTTGCTGAGAAGAACATGCAGCTGCAGTAACAGCTTATTATTTAAGTCTCCCAAAGCCCCTCAAACCCTGACAGAAAAAATGTAAGAGGTTGAGTTCTGTCCTATACAATCATTCTCAGTTTATTACAAACCATCTTTCATGCTTTATCTCTAATTACATTAGTAATATATAGCAAGCAAATAAAGTAATTCTTTACAAGTTCTGCCTGCAGCTAATAGTTTTCCACTGAACTCAAGGACCAGTCCTTAAATTAAATTACACCTGCTTGTGCATAGGAATAAGACTACTTCAAAACACAAGACAGAGCAAGGGCCCAAACCCATCATTACAGTCGAGCACAGTTTGAATGACTGTGGGGAGTCCCATTACACCAGTAGTGAGGTTTGGCACAACTGACCTTCCAAAAGAAAAGGCAGACAATGAATCAAACGAAGTAGAAGAGATCCTCTCTAACAGGCTTAAAACTTTAAAAGCAAAAACCAAACTGTTGTCCTCAAACTGCACCTTGCGTACAACATACAGCCCTTGCTTCGTCTCCAGCACACTGCAGGAGAGCTCAGCTTAACGTTTTCCTCGGCCATTGCTCACAAAAGAACAGGAATTCAAACACACTTACCTGAATATCCGTGGGCTACACAGATACTTGCACAGGCTGGATCCCCTTTATACAGCAGGCCTTCCAGTGCTCCCCGTTCGCAACGTTCAAGTCAAGTAGAACTGTTTATGCAACTACACTGATAAAAATCACCTCGGAGGGCCCCAGAGCTGCCCTCATAGCTCATAAATTATACAGCTTTACTCTGCTTGGCACAGGCTTGAACCCTGCTATAATTTAGGCTAAAAGACAACACAAAGTTTCTGCCTTTTTTGGAGCCCTTCGGCAGTTTGCTGCTGAACCACAGGTTCTGGTCAGGCCTCTGCAGGTGCTCTTAATTAGGAGAGAATCCACATAAGGAACTGGCCTTAAAGATACAAGTCTTTTAAGCACAAGCATTCTAAACCTAGCCATATCGCACCGGCATCTGCGCCGTGTGATGCTTACAAAAGCACAGATAAAGCAGTGTTTAAGCACAACTGCTGTTCCCCTTTGCAAGCAAAGGATCATGAAATAGCATTGACTTATCTCATCCTAAATCTGCCTAGTTGATTCACCTTCCTGACTTTGCTTTAACGCTTCTATTTAAGAAGTACTTCTGTGCTTAGAAGAGCAAGAGTAGTGTATAAAAACTAGCACAGGCACTTCTTGCAGAGTTTGTTTATCTTTGGGAACAAATAAGCTCTTATTCACGTTTGCAAGAGAAGACGGAATGACTTGAAAAGTAAAGACTTCAGAGAACCAGTGTGAAATCATGCACAGAAATAAATATACAGCCTAGATACTCATTAATGGCATATAGCCTGTAAGGATGTATGGAAATAACATTCTTCATTTTGAAAGCATCAGAGGAAAAAAAGACACATACAATTAAACCACACAGTGCCAGGAAATATAGTAGGCTCTTTCCCAATACTGGATAAAATGAGACAGGCTTACACAGGTATTGCCATTAACACACTCTGAGGGCTGGAGCACCTCTCCTACGAAGAAAGGCTGAGAGAGTTGGGGTTGTTCATCCTGGAGAAGTCTCTGGGGAGATCTTATTGCAGCCTTTCAGTTCTTAAAAGGTGCCTGTAAGAAAAATGGAGAGACTTTTTAGCAGGGCCTGTTGGGATGGGACAAGGTATACTGGTTATAATCTAAAAGAGGGGAAATTCAGGCTGGATGTGAGGATCAGAGTGGTAAAATACTGTCACACGTTGACCAGAGAAGTGGTGGATGCACCATCCCCGGAGACATTCGAGGGCAGGTTGGATGTGATTCTGAGCAACCTGGTCTAGTTAGAGATGTCCCTGCTCATTGCAGGGGTGTTGGACTAGATGAACTTTGAAGGCCCCTTCCAAACCAACTATTCTATGATTCTGTGATTCTATGATTTTAGTCCCTAGATCATCCCTGAAAGTTAATATTAGGCTGACTTTGTCCTCCCTAAGTATTGGACTGTGACATCTAAATTGCAATTTGTTAGGCACAAAGAAAGAGGGAATATGAATGCTAATTTAGGTGTTATTCTGAAACACGTCCTGTAATAGCCCTCACCCTCTGCCAACATTTATAGATAGCCTAAGAACACTAGCCCCTGCATCTGGGCTTCTCATCAAGATGTCCAAAGTATGTGAATAACTTTATAAAATCCACATCCACAGAGGAAATGTGGTTCACTTGGTAAAGTCCAAAATACAGTTATGCAATTTCTCTAGCATAGCTCAACAGACCTAAACATGAAGTGAAATCACAGGGGAAGCCTTCCCAGAGAGAATCTCTGGGTTAGACTTTGATCTGATTGATCTTATGCTAATCTAAATTAATTTTCATTAATTTATATTAAAAATTTAATTTCTTTAATAAAAATTATTTTAAGAAGGGTGATTTTAATGTCTCAGTAGTCCCACTCATATTTGGCTATTCTCAAAACTGCTTAGGCTACACTCTGATTGATGACAGAAACCAAACACGAGTTTGCATATCATTGATACTGGATGTACAGCAGCATTTTTCAGGACCTCATTTCCACATTGCTCTAGCAGCAGCCTGAACTGAAGCTGCACAAAACTCTCATCTGCCCTGTAGCACATGATACCAAGTTCTTCTCCAGGAAGGGGTATTTTCTCATCCTGACACTGGCCAGTGGATGTTGTAAGAGAGAACATATGCACTGTATGATAAGCAGCATACTCATCAAACTGTACTGCAATAGGTCTGAGGATGGCCAGTTTGTCCCCCATACATTTCACTTTTATAGTAATATTTTCCTTCAGCATTTGTTGTTTCTGAGGGCTTCTAAATAGTTGCTGAACTTTCTTCGCCATCTTTTATTCCAGAAACCTAGAAAGTCACATTTGTGCCATGTCCTCCTAACTTGAATTGAAAAATAATTAATCAAGTTCTGCATTCCGTCAGATTCTTGTAAGCAGAATTTTTCTGGCTTTATACAGGTATAACTGAGTACAGAACTGGGTTCAAGGCACTGCTTCAACTTGCCCATTGGCACCTCATTCAGAGGAGAACAGATAAGATACCATCTTAGTTTAACTCCAGCGGGCAGCTGAGTACCACAGAGACATTTGCTCACTTCCCCCCCCCCCCCCAGTGGGATGAAGAAGAGAATCAGAAGGATAAAAGTGAGAAAACTCGTGGGTTGAGATAAAGACAGATTAATAGGTGAATTCATTCACCACTTCCCATCAGCAGGCAGGTGTTCAGCCATCTCCAGGCAAGCAGGGCTCCAGCACATGTTAATAGTTACTTGGGAAGGCAAACGCCATCACTCCGAACATCCCCCCATTCCTTGTTCTTCCCCAGCTCTATGTGCTGAGCATGACACCATACAGTATGAGATATCCCTTTGGTCAGTGGGGGTCAGCAGTCCCGGCTGTATCCTCTCCTAACAGCTTGCTTGCTGGTGGGGTAGAGTGAGGAGCAGAAAAGGTCTTGACTCTGTGTAATCATTGCTTAGCGGTAATGAAAATATCCCTGTGTTATCAACTCTGTTTTCAATACAAATCCAAACCACAGCCCCATACTAGTTACTGTGAAGAAAGTTAACTCTATCCCAGCCAAAAGCAGCACAAATACCTACTACAGTCTTTATGGATATTTCTAGGTGGAAGAGATCTGGGGAGGGTCAGGAGAGGAGATGGCTAAATAGGTACAATGAATACAGTGTTCCAGTCCACCTTCAGGGCTACTCTGAGGCTTCCACAGGTCCGAGAAGATGGTAGGATTACTTACCACATCTACAATGTCTTTTCATCATCAGCTTTCTGAATCTGCAATTACTCTTGTGGCAGTTCTCATCTGTCCCATCCTAACTATGAAGAAATCTATCTTACACAAAGTAAATGACAGGTTAAGCTAAACATCTAAAAAAAGTGATTGCATTTATCACCGAATTCTGACTGCTCAGAGTATAAAAAAGGCAGAATTGACTACAATGGTTATAAAAGAGTAAAATGTTTCTTACCTCATCTGGCCTTAAACTGATCTCTTCTCTGAAAAGTCAGTTCTTAGTGCAGAAGTGTTATGAATGCCATTCTGGGAAATACTTATTTACACTCTGCATTATGTAATTCTAACAATACTGTCGTTTAGGTTTTACAAGATACCTAATTTTTTTTAGGAGTCATTATATGCACATTGAAATCAAAGAGAGAGAATCCTAATGAGCAGCACACAGGTGTTTCACCAGAGAAAAAGAATGCCTAAATTACGCACAGAGGACAATAGTGAACCAAACCTTTCTAAGCCCACTGAATTCAGAGGTGCCTTGAATGGACTTACTGGCTTAGTGCAGGTCAGTGTCACCAGCTGAATTAGGAACCTATATTTGGCAGAGGGACTACTTCCCACTACCTCTTCTGGAAGTGTATTTTTAGTTCTGAATGTCTAGAAAGTCCTCAGCATCACCTCAACAACTGATGCCAAATTCCCATTAATTTCTGAAAGTTCTAAGATGAGAAGCAAATATGGAAAATAAAATTCTTGGTTGAGAGAAACTGATGTTCTAATTAAAAAAACATATCTGGCAAAGCAAAAGTGGTAATGATATGAAAAGTAAATAAGCACAGGAGATAATATAAAGATGCTGAGTTGGGCAGGAAATTATTTCTAATACCAAGTCGCTTTTTTATAGTACTCATTCCACTGAAATGGATGCATTTAAATTGCTGTTTAGGTACTCTTATTCATTGCTGTTGAGATCATATTAGTTTAAATGCAGAGTTCATTTAATTCTGGCTAGGTCAGTAATTGTGCTAGTGAGCAAGGTGTACCCTCAACCATTGCTTTCAGATGAATTAATGCTCATTTGTGAGATAAAATGACTTTCTTTTTGTAATCATAGAGGCGTACAAAAAAAGGAAATGCTGATCCTGTGCAGGCTGAAGTGAAAAGTTGGATGCCATGACAGTTTAAATTAAAGACAAGGCAGTTTCTCCTGCACTATAAAATCTGTGACTGCCATAAACCAAGACCCTGCTTAATATCCATGCAATTTTAATTCTTAGCAATAAATGTTACAAAAGAAGCAAATTAATTATTGTTTGCTTAACTAGTTAATCATGGTGTTATAAATATTTTAGAGAGTTTCCTTTTTCCCACTGGTAAATTCTTGTTACAGAAAAATTACTTTAGTACCAATTATTTATAAATAGTTTTGATTAGGGCCTTCGTATTTTCCATGAGTGTTTCTACTTTGAATTGCTGTACAATGAATAATTATGAATTTAATCCTGTAGTGAGAATGTCACATGTATAAACAATAATTTAATTTGCTACAAAATAGATGAGAAAGCTAGCTAGGATCTTTTTAGGATCTTCTGTAATACAACCCAAACTTAAAGGATTCTTTAAATCTGCTACCTTATAATATCGTACAAGCCAATTTCAAGGGCCTGATTCAAAGCTTTGAAACTAATGCCAATCAGTTTCTTCATTATTTCTTCATAAATCACAGCATGATCAGTGAGTTCTGTGAGACACTTCTGTGTTTTCTGCATCCTCTGTAGAGAGTGTACTGGAAGCCAGTTTGATGTACAATTTGGGGCATGCCATGACAAGTTAATGCAGAGGACAAAACCACAGAAATGAAACTTAACTGATGTGCGAAAAAGGTGGGAGTGGGTTTAGAAATGTAGTAGTTTTGTAAAAGAACTTTTATTGAATGGCAGTGGTGCTGATGTGCTTACTGA